CTGAAATCAATGTGGTATTGGCAAGAGATGTGTTACCCTGTTGATGGTTTACAGCTGCATACGGTAAGCAGTCAGATTCACCCATACAGTAGCTACTTCTCCCCAACACCTGTGTGCAAGGCATCTATCAAAGGAAAACAATGTAGTGAGCATGATAAAACTATCGGACATCGTTCCCCTCTTTCTCCCATTACCATCCGTGATGTAAACACAAGATAAAGTCAGTTTGTTCTAGTCTAGACATGCAGCCCTACATCATCCGCCCCATGCCGAGCACACAGCACTGACCCACATTAATACATTTATAATCAATACCTCCCCAGGTCTCGTGCACAGACTCGCCCATCAGATGTCGAAGGAAATTGTGCAGTCCAATTTAAAATGGCCCAGGGGGAACTTCCATAACCATGTGCCAATTAGTTCCACTGTCAATAATGGTAATGCTAAAGGACATTGTGTTCCAGGGTGAGAGGGGAGGAAGGATGGAGGGAGGAGGGAGACATCATCAAGCTTATACCCGTTGTTCATTGTTAATGGCTGTTACACTGACAAGAAGCATTTGATCACACACACACACTCATTGTGGTCCGTGGACGTGGTTGAGGGGGTTGTGTTAAGGGGCAGAATTACACAACCCATGAAGATAATAAGTAATGACGTCTTATAAAGGTCAACAAACAAAGCACTAGTTGGACAAACACAAGCCGTGTGATGGGATTCATTAGGACAGCGTGGAGAGAGAGAGAAAGAGAGAGAGAGAAAGAGAGAGAGAGAGAAGGGTAGGTGGGGGGGCGCATTCCTCTGTTGTTTCACTGCGGCCGTCACAGCAGCAGCTGAAACAGGTGCGTGCCTTTACTCGGGGGGCACCGAGGGCAAGACAAGTGCTATTCTCACATGGTTCAGACTGGTCACACTTGACCGCACTCTGACCTCGCACCCACTTGCGTAGCCCCGGACTTCATTAAGCAGGCCCTAAGTAGCGCAGGGGTCTCACAACTATTATCTCTGCAATTTAATACAGACTCTCCCTGTCCATAATATAAACTTGGCTCAAGGATATTCATGAGCGGTGTATCAACGTCAAGACTTTCGGCAGCTCTGCTTCGAATTTGGGACCCCTGATGAGCTGTATCACGGGGCCGCTCCAGGCCGATGCTTCTAGTTTGATTTGTGGTCACCTCACCTGTCTGAGGAGCCTCTTGTAAAGTCATCCCACAAACTCTGCTCCACTCAACATGGTCCGTCCAGGCACAAATGGAATCCGCGAGGGCCAGGTGACGTTTCAAGTTGGACACACAAAAAGAGTGTTGAGAAGTACTCTCGTTCAAGGAGACAACACAAACCTAACCTTTGATTGGCAGAACAAAGGACTTGCTGGGCTATCAATAGTCAAAGCTTGAGACATGAGACTTTCAAACTCAAAATGCAAAAACTTGACAAACAAGTCTGAAGTATTGATGTCGTAAAAGGAAACTTTTAACACAGCTTTTGAAGGGAAAATCTTCAAATGCTGTGTTCAGCATTGACAGACCTGATAATCGTTTGATAGCGGTTTTGTCTTTATTTGTTGGGCACTTCATTATGTGATGGAATCATGTTTATTTCTAGTGTATTTTCTATAAAAGAAGTACTTTATTAATCCCTCATTGGGGAAATACATCTTTCACACTTTGTTATAATTCATTACACAATAGGGCTGAAATACACACAGGCACACACACGACCTAAAGACGTGCATTAGGAAGGGAGCCTGCCACTGGTTGAGTTTTGGTTATCATCGTGAACAATTATGCCTGACACAATAAAGGCCATTAACATTACTTTTTAGTTCACCGATTGGTCTGACATTTAGCTGCCAGGCTCAGTCTGTTTAATTTCTTCCCAGACCAAAATTTCCCAGAAGAACCTTTCAAAGATTACGGCTGGTTTTGCCAGGCTCATGTCTCCTTCCTGTGCTTTGGGCACTCGACGAGTATCAGTTCTCTCTCTTCCACCAGCGACAAAACCCCTGGAACGTGGACATTGTGACGCACTTTTAGTCACTCTTTCCTTTTCCCAAACATATCCACACACACACACACACACACACACATCTAATGACAACACAACACAGCTATGGTCTCCAGCTCAGGAAACAGAGGGTTCCTGTTTTTGAGTCCAAGGTCCATTGTTATCTTGAACAGCGTTTTGACAGTAGTACATGTTCTCTCTCGCTCTCTCCTTCTGTCTGGTTTTCTCAGCCTCCCCAGCTCTTGCTTCACACCCTTGAGATATTATCCAATTATTATCCAGCCAAATCTTGATTCCCATACAGCCCTTTAGTAGTACACATTCTTATCTGGACCTTTCACTCTACTAATATTGACAAAGCCATGAGAGAGAGTCAACACAACCCTCCATTACCACTTTTCCTGTTTTATCTATGCGCCTTATCTTCGCTCTGTGGATGGAGTCACACAGTCAATCGTATTTCTGCGCTTGAGGATCAAGTATCTCCTCGGCCACCGATCCCTCACTGTCTTCATGCTCTTTTCTCATTCCTTCAGCCTCTGCTGCCATACTCGCTCCTTTGTGGGAACCGAGGTGCTGCATGCAGTCTATTGCGCAGTCGAAGGTGTTAGGGGGATTGAGGAAAAGTCTGGATAAGCAACAGCTGGATTTAATGCACCATTAAGGTCATTGGTTGTTCAAGCTGCACCTGCAAATCCCCTGATTTCACCCCCCCCCCCCTGTCTAAACCTCTCTCCCCTGTCTGCTCCCTCCTCTCCTCTTTTCTCTGTTGCCCTCTCCTCTTTCATCCAAATACTCAGCTCTCCCTTTCTTTTTCATTTCTGGCCCTCTCAGCTTTCTCGCTCTTGTCAACTATGAAATCCCCCCCCCCCCCTCTCTTCTCTGGTTCTTTATCGGGAGTAACTGCTGCCGCTGCTGCTTCTCCTCTCTCTCTCATTCTGCCTCCCTACATCCCTGTCTCGTTTTCTGTCTCACTCTGCATGTCTCCCTATCTGTCTCTCCCTCCTCTACCTGTATGTCTCTCTCTCTCTCTCTCTCTCTCATTCTCTCTGTTTCAATGCCCCTACCGCTCGCAGGCTGTTGTGTTGTGTCTGCCAGGCCTTCTCGGCTGGAGCGCAGGTTTCCTGAGTTCTGGAACGGAATAGGAGCTGGCAGGGAGATACACTGAGAAACGCCAGCTCGACTGTTCCCACTGAGCATCTCATAGTGATGCAGCACCGGCAGGACACAGCACACGCTATGATGTATGTCATGATGCAGCATGTCATGGGTAATCCCACCTGGATTCAGTTTATTCTATCGATGCAGTGGAGTAACCTGACCATCACAGGATGATAGTCATCATATCACAACATATTAAGTCTCCACCTTTTAGTTTACCAATATATTTATTATAGACATAAATGAGCATTTAGGCATTAGGTTATTATAGAATTCACAGAAAAAGAAATTACCACAATTCATCTAGCAAAAGTATGCCAAACATTTATTGAGTTCAACTTCTCATATTTTGGGATCTCTTTTCCCAGGTTTAAATTCTGTGTTGGATGTTTATGAATGTGAAGATGTTTCCTTCCTTACTGATTAAATGGGGAAATTATTGAAAGCTTCCTAAACACTTGCAACATATCGATCAATAATGGAAGTAATCATGAGCTGCAGCTTCTCGTGTCGCAGCTGCTTGTGAGGAAACTCAAGCGAAGTAAACGGTCGCAAACATTTAGGGCGCAGCATATATCTTGGTCGTTACACAAAGCCACAAAGCCATTCACAAGATAAAGCATCTTTAAACAACATTGCAGACTTGGAAAGATAATTGTTGATTTCAGGATTTCAAGATTTATGTTTCAGCAAACAGACATAAACCCTGACTATCTTCCAGTCTTGCATATAACAGTCTCCATAAACAGAAGCAACAGGCTTTACCCCTCTGGCAGACGCACAGATCGTCACTCACACCATTAACACTGGTGCAGACAAACATAAACACCACCGTCCTAAAAATAACTCTCCATTTTTCCCCAAAGAATGATATTTATTTCTCAGTGGCTCTTCATGCGTCCCTGTCCCCAGCTAACTGAATGATGTTTACGTCTCCCACTCCTCCTGATTTCACCCTGGAGTGGTCTGTGCCCTCTGCACCTGGACAGTTCACCTCCCCGAATGAATGGACGTGGCCCATAGCACCTAAAGAGACACAGAGATCAAACAACAGTGTGCTCCCCGAGGCCCCTAATGAAATTGTTGTTGGATTCCTCACTTTGGAATAACATTAGTATTTATGGATAGCTTTCAGCAAGCGCTAATGGTAAACTAATTTCCAAAATGGCTTTTCTAAATTAAGAGGATGGCACAGAGAAACAGTTAAAGGTCTACTGTGAGTTAAAAGCCTGACTGGGGGCCTCATTATAGACTCAGTTGAAACAAATTGTTTTCTGTCTCTCAGCTGACAGGGTGCTAGTGTTGTTTATACATCCGCCAACAGTCTAGGGCAGCGTTTTAATGAAAAACATAAACAGCGACAACGTTGAGATTTACAGAGAAGTATAATGAGGGAATGTAGTGATTCATTTTTTTGACCACTTTCTTCTCACTCCACTTACAGAGAGGACAATATACAACAAAACAGGACACATTCAATAAAGTATGAATTTAGTAGTACAATAGTAACATAAACACAGTAATATATATGTATATAGATAGATAAAAAAACGTCAGGCTTTACATGTAAACATTATAACCGACACATTTAAAAATGTGAAAAAATATCTTTATTTATGTTTTTTATTAGATCTCAAAGATTGTATTTGATTTGAGGTCAACAAATTATTAATGATAACTATTTAAGCTTTTAATAAAAGGTGTTTTTGATTGTGAATAATGACATTTGCGAAAAGTATGACCTTAATTAATCACAATTCAGTAGATTTGTTGGAAGCAACACAGCACTGACTACATTTCCCATAAGGCGTCACGGCTTACGTCATAAAACTGCGCTGCGCTGAGGTGGCTTTCGAGAGGTAAACACATCGGATACCTTCTTCTAAATGCATTTATTGAACGAAATGCTATTTAAACGAATGAATCGTTCTCTTTAGTATCTGTCGTACGACTTTTTATTCTGGCTGCGTAATGTTATTTGCCGTTTGTCTTTCTCGTGTGTTGTATCCAACGATAACGCTCAACAGCTAACACGGTGCTACCTTGGTGTGCTAAAGCTAAGCTAATTGAGTTTACAGCCTTTATAACCGTCCGTTTCTGCCTCAGGTTGTTTTGCGGCTGCTGACCTGAAGTCCCCCGCGGCAGCTCTCATCATGACCAAACTTCTGGAGTGGCTGTTCGGTGTGTCGCTGGTGGGCGCAGTCTGGGCTTTGGTCTCCTTCGACCTGTTGGACCTGAGCCTACCTCAGACCTACAGAGAGGTCGCCTGGCCGATGCCTCTGTACCTGCTGGTTTCATTCGGATGCTACTCCCTGGCCACGGTGGGATACAGGGTGGCCACCTTCAATGACTGCGAGGAGGCGGAAAAGGAGCTGCAGGGGCAGATAAAGGAAGCCAAAGAGGACTTGAGGAGAAGGGGCCTAAAGATGTAGCACTTGACTATTTAGAAACTTATGAGCGACTGAAAGGGATGCGCGGACTAGTTTTACAAACAACCAAGTGTCCAATAGTTCTTGTTTATCTGTGAAATGTGTTTGATGAAACTCTTCTCAGAACTGACACCTTTTTTCTTTGGTTTAGTTTCCAGCAGACATGATCAGAACATCAATCATAATGAGCCATTATGCAGCCGTGTTTCTTATCCCGTGTCACCTCTTTCAGATTAGATATCGATCAAATGTGCTTCAGGAAATTAGAAATGAACGGCCTGATGGATGTTCTCTGGGCTACTTATAAGTGACAACACAGCAATTTGCGCCATGAAGATAAATGTTTAATGAAGTGAAAGATATTAAACATCACCAGTTTATAGCTCATTTATTTACTGATTAAACTCAAACCAGATTCTGTAAAAATAAGGTAAACTGTTAACACACATGATGATGTCTTTTGTTGCTAACTGCACACAGTTAAATACCCCTGAGAGTCACTGGTCTGCTAAAATATCGTCTGTAACAAGTTGTCGATCAATGAAACGCCAACAAGTGAAACCAAAAGGTCACACTGGAACAATCTCACTGAATGCTGTCTGGAGGCTGCTGCTCATCTGTATGGACGAGAGTTTATCTGTAGGAAAGTGTACGTTCCATTGTCCAATTTCATACTTGTGCCCTGCGGCTATTGCTGGAACTTAATTAAATTGGAGTCTATTTTTCTTCAGTTTTTCTGCCTGCGTGTGTGTGTGTGTGTGGGGGGGGGGGGGGGGGGGGGGGGGTTCGCAAAGGGCCAGGAGGTATGCGAGTATGTGCATGACTGCTTGCATATATGATGCATTCCTTCTCCGAGCATTACCCACATGACCCGAGGGCTTTATATCAACTTCTCAATGCCTCCTCCTGTTGAACAGACAGATCTCTCTTGTCCCATTTTGTAGTTTGACGACGAGCGATGTACTTTATACAGCATTTCCTTTGCTTCCCTCGCAGAGGTTTGCTCCAGTCAGACAATGTAAGCTAAAGTATGTAGTCCTGAACTAATCTGATGTTGGCGAGTACAGTTCTTTTGTGTGCGCGTTAAAATGCTGCCTATGCTCATTTTCAGTGAGTTCCCGCTGGGCATAAACAAAGCGTAGCCTGGCCAAAGGCCTCATTACAGGGTTTCAAAAGCTCCCATAACTTAAGAACAAATGCAAAAGAGTTGGCGATTCTCTGTGTGCACGCGCTGCCTGTTGTGCCATTTGGCTGCAGCCCCATCATGCCTTGCAACGTCAGCCCCCCCGTGAATGTCTGCAAGCTGTTGCAGGAGCAGACTGGATGAAAGGCAACCTGTTATCTACCAGCAAATCTTCTACTTTTGGCAATTACACCAAAGGCTTCCCTTGGTAGTTACGATGTTCTCACTCGTAACCACATGTGAAATAGTTAAATCGCTTTTCTTTGTCATCATTCTGCCCATATCGAACTTTGAAGACATCCATCTGTTTGTATCCTGCAGGCTATCAGACACGAGTATAAATGAGAATGGGCCAAACATGTTCCAGACCATAAAGAGCGCGTGTGTATCTGTAGCTACGGCATTAAGTAGTTTTGTGTCTTCTCCTTTTAATCCTTTGTTTCAAACATACAGTAAGCTTTATTGCAGACTTATCCCTTTACATGGTAGCAAATGTAATTATGTATAATCTGATGCACAGACAGAGATGTATCAAAAGCCGTCCCATCAGAAACAATCTCAAATGCTCAAGCTTTTTTTTTTCTTTTTTTTAAATCTCCGTGCATTTCTTTTGCAGCAAATGTGAGACAACAAACATCACTACTGCTGTTGTTTTTACGAGTGAGTGGCAGCATTTACAAGAGAGGGTGCACCTGATAGAGTACAGTGACTTGAAGCACTGAGCAAAATCCATAATAATAATTTCATGGCAGTTTTGTATCCCCGCCTGTCAAGATTTTCATGACGATCTTTCATATGTTCCTGTAGAAATCAAACCTTCACACAGTCCTTCATACTTTATATCATTAAGATCACTTTGAGCTAAAAAAATTACCTGAAATAATACAAAACCAAAGCTGAGATTCAGTGTTTTTTCCTATTGAAAATATGAAGCTTTGTTATGAATGACATACATTATTTATCCGTTCTTGTGCCCCAAAGTGGTAAGTTCTGTCGACTTGACTCGTGTCAAAGTCATCTAAAATCTCTTGGTGATGTAACATGTCTAAGTGGCAACTTCAACATCCTCTTGCTGCAATTTTCTTTTCTTTTTTCTGGTTTTGGAGTATGAGAGCCACTTAGCCACACACTTTTCTTTTTTTTTTTATCATAATTGCTCTGTCTGCCTTTGACTGGCTGAGAAAGATGGCAAACGTGCACAGAATGTTCTTTGTGTTCTGTTGCGAAGTGGTGAGGTGAGAGGAGTCAGATAAATTGGGAGAGGAGCTGAAAAACAGGAAGAAACCTAATGGAGATAGAGTCAGTGAGAGCGGCCACGGGGTTGTGCCCGCAGGATGGCCTCACTGAGACCTTCAGACACTATAAAAAACATTTGGAGAGACACTCGGTGACACTGCTCGGAGCAAATTCATCTCGACAGGCTGAGAACCAAAACTGAAAACCTATCATTTTTCTGCACAGAAAATACTTCTTCTTTTTTTCCCCACCCACACATTTCACAGCAAAACCTCAAACCCATCTACAGACGCACAGAAAGAGAGATGGAGTTAGTAATCGAGGCCCAGAGCTGAAAGAGATGGAGATTTGATACATATACAGAAAAGGGTGAGCAGTAATGACAAGATGAGAGTGACAAAAGAGGGGGGGGACAAAAACAGGAGATGGATACAGAGAGAGTGAATGGTTTAAAAAGGGGCAGAACAAAAGAAGTGTGGAAGTGAGAATACATTTTAAAAAAAGAAAAGAGAAAGGAAAGTGACCGAGTGACACGGACAGGAAACCAAAACATGAGCTGGAACAAGACAAATGACCGTAGCAGAGAGTGTGTGACAGGACTTTTTCGGGAAGAGCAGACCACACCCTGACCTCCAGAGATGGCAGGGGACCAAAATGTGTCCTGATTGGCCCAGAGGCTGAGTCCTCCTCTGTGTAACCAAGGTGTTTCCTTCCAATGAGCCCCGGCTGTCATCTAAAGCTTTTACAGGCTCTACAGCTGGACTCAAGCAAAAGAGGGAATAAAAGGAGCTTCCAAATATGCCGCTATAATAAAAACGGCATGTAATCAGAGCGTGCATCATCGCTGAATAAAAATGTGAACGAGGTTAGAAAGTCACTCGTGGGTTGAGTGAGTTGAGTTGTGAGGGTCTATTCTTCTTTCGCTCCTCATAAACAGCTGCTTTGATACTTACAGGAGGATGGACTCAACGATGGCAGGGTAGAAATTATTGTCTGTGGCAGGATGAACCTCTTCAGCTGCCTCAGGAAGAACATCCTCTGCTGAGCCTTCTTGGTGATGGAGCTGATGTTAAGCTCCCACTTGAGGTCGTAGGTTATGATGGAGCCCAGGAAGCGGAAGGCCTCCACAGCGTCGACGAGGGAGTCACACAGGGTGATAGGGGCTGGTGGGGCTGCGTTCTTCCGGAAATCCATAACTCTCTCTGCTGTCTTTAGAGCGTTGAGCTCTAAGTTGTTAACTCCGCACCAGGTCACTGGATGGTCAATCTCCCACCTGTAGGCGGACTCATCCCCACCAGAGATGAGTCAAATGAGGGCGGTGTCATCCGTGAACTTCAGGAGCTTGACGGACGGGTGACTGGAGGTGCAGCTGTTGGTGTACAGGGAGAAGAGCAGAGGGGACAGAACACAGCCTTAAACCTCAAAGCCTCAAACCCTGAACCCTCAAGGACTTACTGACGTCACCTGGTAAATGGTTGAGTGTAAGAGACTGTGAGGGCTTGAAATGATGTAAATACGAATGGACAGCACTTTGCTGCAACATATCACGTTACCGTGACGTCAAAAAATATGATGTAGAATTGTGGGTATTTATTTTATACTTTTTACTCCTTGCTTTGAACGTCTTCCAGGCTCTTCCCTCACAAGATGAGGTCATTTTAGATAATCTATTTACTTGTTTTTATCAAAACAGCTTAAATGCCAAAATTAAATATTTGATGAATAAATAAATAACCTCTGATTTCATGAGGTTTTTTTTGTTCCATCTTTAATCCATGTTTTTGTGTAAATTTAATGACAGGACGTCCTCTTTGTTTACCTTTTTTTTTTTTTTTTACGTCTCCATGCTTCCACTGGTTACCCCGTTTAACGTCCCATTGCAATGGATTGTGGGTAAATCCTTTGGGCAAAGTCTGTATCTAATGACTTACGGAAAGGGTTCATAAAGGGCTGAAAATGTCTGCGAGAGAGCCCTCAAACACGCAATGATTTGACAGTGGGACATCTCTAAACCCTCATCAACACCTCACCTCACTCTGATCCACTTGCAGGTGGAGTCGGGTTAACGTACAGCTGGGAGAGCTTGTCCTGCAGCAGAGACGGGATGATAGTATTGAAGGCAGAACTGAAGTCTACAAACAGCATCCTGGCGTAGGTTCCTGAGGAGTCCAGGTGCTGGAGGATGAAGTGAAGGGCCATGTTGACTGCATCGCCTTCAGACCTGTTGGCTCTGTAGGCAAACTGCAGGGTGTCAATAGTGAGGCATGAATCAGTCCAGAGATGCAGAAATAGACCAGTTGTCATGCCAAACATAAAGTCTGAATTTACAGCCAGTCTAGCGGCTATGTAAAGCTTTATTTAGACACAGTCGTGGTTTTTGCTAAATGCTAACATCTGCATACAAACATCCAGTGGTAGGCCGTCAGGGCCAGCAAGGCCTTCTCTGCTGGCCTAGACAGAATCACAAAGTTATAGCTATTTTATAATTTAATAATTTTTCATAAATACACTACATGTATTCTTATTTTTTCCCCATCATCTTATTTTCTCATTGCACAGCTACTGTCTTCCTTACTGTAACACCATGCTCAAATTGTACAGAGTGAAATAATCACAGTTTATTGATGTTACACTGTATCGTTTTATACTTTAATGCAAAACATGTTTATGTTTTTCTTTGATTGTACAAAGGGAGAAGAAAGCAAAGAGATAAGTCATTTCTGGCTACCTGAATTGGAAATATAGCAACAGCTAGAGCAATGGGAGAAAAATATCTTCCATGATGCTGCTGGCTATTTCCTTTTCATTAAGATGATTGAAAGAGTCTTTGAGGATTCCAGAAATACTTTCTGAACAGCTCTTCTATGCATGAATGTAATGTAATGGTAATACATGAGAGGCAAAAACTGAGGCTTGGTTTAATATACATTCTACTATACAGTATCCTGGAAGCATTCTTTGATCATATTCCCAATATTCAGAGATTTTGATTCATGCTCTCCTTGCTACCGCCTGCAATGCGTGTGATCTATGAATTTGGGCTTTTAAATCTTGTGTGAACATCATATGGAGATTTTTCTTCTTTCAGGCCTGTGAACATGTTGCCCTCAGGAGGTTTTCTGTGCTCCACGTTTGTTCCGGTTATCTGCTGACTGCCCTTAACATTTACTACAGCGTTAAAGGTTTCACACTTGCTGTTCTCATTTACTCAAGCTGGTACGCAGAACGAGTGAGTAAATAAAAAGAATTGTCTGCTCTTGACGAGCTACCACTCAGTGGAGCCTCTTCTCGGGGTCGGGCGGTTAAGGGGCCTGTCCCCCGGGCCCTAATTTATGACCATCCTTTTGGAAACATCGGGGAGTTGTCAGGCAGAGGCACCAGTTTTTCTGGTGCAACAGCTGTTTTCACTGTCACGGCCGTAAAGCTCCCCTGGGAAAGAGGAGAGACAGGAACAATCGCTTGTCATGCAACTTGCACATGAGCAAAGTATCACGGCTGGAGAAAAGAGGAGCTGTGGGTGTATGTTGGGACAGGGGTGTTGTAGCTCAGGGTGGAGGCTTGACAGAAGGTTGAGATAAAGACAGTAGAGGGATCACACCTGTGTGCTTAGTCTTCATGGCTAAAGGCAACCTTAACGGTAATGATAGTCTTTTCGTTTTGCCTTCATCTCTCTATTGTAGCTGGTCTCCAGCCACCTTGGCCTTGATTATATTCAACTCCTGTCACATTGGCGTGTGTGTGATTCATTATCTGAGCTATTGGCTCCTTCTGTGGATATCTTTGGAGTGTAATCATGAGTAGAAATGGGCTGGGTTTTCTGAAAGCTTTTCAGCATCAAAATTCCTTACTTCAAGAGGGAAGTGTGATCTTTAATTTAGGATGATGCTGGGGAAACTGGATAATTGTTTTCAAAGGGTAGATAATTAAATCATGTGCATACAAGACTCATCCTTTTACGGCTGTACTTTGGTGCAGCATTAAGTCAAAGCCACCGTGTCAACATATTTACAATGGCAGTTTTAACATGTTGATGTTTTAGCAGTTTAAAGCTTAGCATGCTAACATTTGCTAGTTAGTACTAGACAAATTTACATTTTGATCTAATGATGGAGCTAGATGTTAAATCAAGGCATAATCAGAGTTATTACAATTCATCCTGAGGTGGATATGAATGTCTGAACCAAACTTAAGCAGTCCATCAAATACATTTCCCTTAAAAAGCACAAAAAAGGCTAAAAACAGACCAATATCACCAAATAAATAGTGAACAAGTTGGAGAGATGGCTGCCTGGACTTGCAAGCGTGGCTAAAAAAAAAAAATAAAACACAGAAAGCTGTTCGGGTTTCCCAAAAATATCTTTTATTTCACATGAAATTTTCACATTTAGCATAGTTATCAAACATTTTTTATATAATCTTCTATATATATATATATATATATATATATAAATATATACATATATACACAGTTTTCTTACTTACACATGTACAAAATTAGGAAACAAGAATTCAGATTAAAAAAAAAGACCGACTTCAATGGTAGTCATACACCGTTGTGCTTTGTTGGTCAAGCCAGCCTGTCAGGTGAAGATGTGCTCGGGCAACTTGGTTTGATGCCGTGTCTCGTCTCTTGTGAACTGGTGACTAGAACATTTTCAAATCATCCAAAACTGTGGGAATTATTAGGTCGAAATAACTGAACTTTGTGTTGAAAACATGAGAGGAAAGCACCATGATACACAGGGTCGGGGTCCCGTAGTAATAAAAAGATACCAGCACTCCATGTTAGACAGCTTAACCAATACAGCGGCAAGATCCAACAAACAGAGAAGTCCAGCCTCTCCGCAACACACAACATCTCAGTGTTCGCTTTTGGCAGAAAAACATTTTGTCTCGTCACTCTTTCAATCAATCGCTCCTTTTTTTCCCTCCTTACTCTCACACGTTTGCCCTTTCACACACAAATACTAACTCTACCAGGAGACGGAGAGAGAAGCTCTCCTGTAGCCAACAGTAAACATTTGTCTTTGTGAGCACATGGTATATACACAGTAAAACTTCTCAGCTGCAAATGGTATAAATTATCTTCACAGAATGTACATGCAACACAGTTCGATGTAGTGTGTTTTCATGTCTCATGTCATCCGATGTGTGTGTGTGTGTGTGTGTGTGTGTGTGTGTGTGTGTGTGTGTGTGAGACACTGTAATGGGGTGTATGTTGTTGTGTCTGTACTGTGCAGCAGTAGTGCTACAGTATATAAGCACATGGTCGAGTTCGCAGAGGATTGGTAGTCATGAGAACGGTCCCCCCCAAGTCTGTCAATGCTACATTTAGAGAAAGGAATCACTTGGGACACCAAATGCCACTTGATACCATTACGATAACAATACAACAAGTAACACACAGTACTCAAGGGTGGAATAGTGTACAAGTTGGAGAGATGACTGATCTTTGGCTCAAAAAGGTGAGAGATTACTTTTCCACAGAATGTGGATTCATCCCATCTAAATTTATAGAATTCAAACAGAGTTGGTGTCTTTGCTCCCGATTGTTCTTCGGCCACTTTAGGTCCCTCTTTAAATCGGCTTCATATTTTGTTCTAGGGTTATCCTCCAAACAAGTTCATGTATTTATGTTTTTGGAGAGAGCCCTAAAGAAATACAAATCAAGGAGAGCTTGGTCTTTCCAAGAAAAAAAAACAAAAAAAAAACCCTTTTGAAATATAAGACGAAGCACATGTACTTTGTCTCAAATGCTCAGGAGTTACTCAGCGAGTTCATCTGTACTTTACAAGCTTCAAAAGTCTCTCCCGGTGGCCAGCACTGGGCATGGAAAACTGTCTTTTTGAGTCAGTGGTCTCATCCCCACGGACTGTGTTCATTGTAGTCCCTGAAAAGAAAGTCTGCCGACAGCAGTCCTTTCGTGTACTCTTAGTGCAACAATAGCAGTAATGAAGATGGGACCAGCAGTGAGAGAATTGTGAGGGACGCAGCCGCCGCCACAGAGTTTGACCGTACACTCTTCTGGACGTCTGGCAGGATCACCACTGGGTCATCTGCTTGAAGTTTGGAGATAAAGAAGTCACATTAGCACCACATATTTACACCCGGACGCAATCCTGAATCCTGTTTTAAGATCAGGGATAATTAGAAAGGACGCAGGGTTGGTAAACATACCTGCAGGCAGTCTATTGGACGGGTTGTGAACCCCACCCCCGGCTCCGGCCTCAGCCCCAGCTGTGCCTCCTTTAGCCACTCTGGCCTCTTGAGAGCCTGAAAGAAAAACAAAAATACCATCAATTACTCTGCTTGGGTCTCACAAAAATGCCTAGCACGACTATCAGAACTGTGCTGCTCTCCTTCCAGCCGGGAGGGGCGGTTAAACTCACCATCAGCAGCTACGACGTCCACCCTGAGCCGGAGGCACTCCTGTCCATGGTGGTGCAAAGGTTTGGCTGCGGGAAGAAACAACACAGGCGTTAAAATCCTAACTACTGCACTTAGCCTCCACTGGCCCCTTAATTCACCTTCATGCATGCGCGCGCACGCACGCACACGCACACGCACGCACACGCACACGCACACGCACACGCACACACACGCACACACACGCACACTTGGCAACAGACAGACGAGGGGACAAAGCTTAGGAGGCCATCTGTGACCAGGCGAAGTGGGTCTTGTCCTGCAGTTTATCTAATTACAGCCGTGGTCAGGGCAACAACACTGCTGGCTCTTTGTGGTTACATTCTAGCAGGGCAAGTGTTGTATAAACTTGGCAAACTGAGCCAACACCCCAGTTAATGTCCACGTTGAGCTTAAATGAGCAGGCCACCGAGCTCGGGTAGTAGAAAAACTAAACTAAACTGCAGAAGTTTGCCCTCACTTCCTCCAGTCGGACAGTCTGACACCAGACTGAAATATCTCACTTTTGGATGGGTTGCCTCTCAAGATGAATTGTAGTAATTTTGAAGGTCACTTATCTTTTCATTTAGTCATCATCTAGTCAAAATATGAACACCTTTTTTTCATTGAGGGCATGCTAATGTGCCGATGTTAGCGACAGGTTTTCGCCTGTCCGTTCATGTTCAACATTTTCTAACTACGCAGTTGGCCAGAGAAAATGAAGAGCTTTGAAAATGTTATATACACAATAATATAAAATTAGTTGTGCGACCGTCCTCGCAGAAAGTATAACCAGGCTTCAAAGTTCTCCATTTTCTCCGCGTTGTTGGAAAATGTTGGATTGATTGAAATACAAGATACAAAGAAAACACTCTGAAAAGAAAGTTATATTGACACTCACAGATATAATAGTAGCTTTCTCCCTGCCGAAATTCCTTTCCCAGAGTGAACGGAGTAAACCGCTGGAACTTCTCCGAGAACTTCTCGGGGGCATGAGGAGCAAACGGATGGCCACACTCCCAGCGCATCTGGTCGTACGACTGGGGCTTGCAGGAGTCATAGTCCTCGCGCTCCACCATGTAGAGCACGTATCGCTCGGCATCCAGCAGTGGCACCTCACCCTGAGGGTAATGGGGGCAGACGATGTCCAGGTAGTCGTTGAGCTTCACCTCCACGGTGTAGTCGTCCCATAGAAACCTGCAGGGAGGAGGCAGAGGAGGACAGTTATTCAAGTGGCAGGAGACTGATAACCGTGCTTATAGCATCGGAGCGGTAATAAATATAAGCCTCAAAAGCTCTGATTATATATTGATCGGCTACACGCCACAGTACAACAGGGAAATCAGAGAAAAGTCTGAGAGGCCTGGCAATGAGACATATAGAGCAGGAGAAAGAGAGAGAGAGTGTTTGTGAGTGACGAAATATGTGTGTGTTGGAGTGGAATGAAGAGGGAAAACGCGATAAGGGGAAGAATGATCTGCAGAGAACATGTGCATAAATATGGAGGAACGCGAGGCCAGCGTATCTGCCGCTGCTCGCTGCACTGAGTGCACATTGATCCCACGATTCTCGGGAGTCGAGTGATGTTTACAGAGAAACATTAGCAGTCAGTTAGCCCGTCAAGACAGGAGATGAGTATCGACATCTGCAGGGCTACACACAAAACACCCACACGCATAAAGAGGCAGAATGCATTATGACGAGTTCGCAGACACACACCGGAGTCGATTAGCGATATGGATTCAAATGAAGGTCACGTGTGTTTTTAAGCCATTCATTAGAGTGAGAGACGGGCGGACACGTAGAAAATGAGTCTGGTGACGGCCTGTAACCGTCTCCCACCGCACTCCCTCTCATTACAAACACAGAGACACAGTCAGACTGTCTGCCTCCCCTCCATTCCTCCCTGCATCCCTCCCGCCACTCCTTGACCCTCTTTACGAGGGTCCTCAAAGTAAACTGAACTCCCTCCCTTCCCCTTGGACGTAGGTCAAAGGAGCAACCGCAGACAACTTTTTAGCATTTCAACATGCTTCCAATGGCCCCATAAACACGAAACACGATTTAACTATTACAGAAACACATAAAACAACTATTTAGCAGCCGTTTGAATTGGCCTTATCTCAACTGTCCATGATTACTTCCCCCTCATGGATTTCCTTTTTATCAGAGATATTATGAGTTTATCTCCAGGGAATTGACATTAAAGGTTTTCCAGCTCTGTCCCCTACCCCCTGACTGAGTGGCTGCTCGGGGGGGGGGGGGGGCTGCTCACAGCTAATGCTCTCGTCTCAGCCAAAGCCATCTATCATCGGCCTGGAGCGGTAGCTGGCCGCTAGCAACACACAAGCACACACACACCCCAGTAATTCCCATCTATCAACAACCTAAAGCAGTAGCTACCTACCATTTGCGCACACACACACACACACGCACACGCACACACGCACGCCCTCCCCCGGTACTGATCTCCAAAGCGATGCCTATCAGTTTACCGTCTCCTACTGTTCTAGATCACCAGGGGTTCTCTGAGAATGGATGAAATTTGACAAGACTTCAATATTTTCACAACACACAAGGAGAATGTGTGTCTAATATAGGGTTTTGTTGCTTTTGCAATGAATACATGGCTGGTTCATGATACTTTCACCAACCCCAAGACAGAGGCAGACAGCCAGTGTGAGTTTCTGACTGCTTTTAAATCAGATCTGCAAATCTCAAAGAGTTCCCAAAAGCCTACAGGGAGCCAATCGGACACCTTTAGCACAGAAAAAAAGACCTCACCGCTGGAGGTGGTTTTTCTTTGAGGATTCTGTCATTTTCTCATAAAACACCTAAATGTAACAAGCAGCATTTGGGGATTTTGTGTTTGTGTGACAAGGTCCATATGTGTGACGAACGATCAAAGTGCACAGGCCCCCGCCGCTCGTTAGCTGCTGTTGTTTTTGGCCAGTGGTCTCTCTGGTGCCGCCTGGAAAAAAAGGACAGACGCTGTGGCTCCAAACACCGGGTCCTGACTCCTGCTCCCCCTCTGCCTGCCTCCCCCACCCCCACACCTTTCGCCGGCTGACTGCATTCCCTCAATGCTGATGAGCAGATTAGCCGGCAACACCATTATAACAGCAACACAGGCACGTTGGAAAACAAGCACCTTTTTAGTATACTGATGAAACTTACATCTAACTGTGCTGATAATAGTGTGCCCCTGCCAACTTTTGGGGGAGGGGGGGAGGGCCAATAATTATCATTTTGCCATGGTCCAGACAGCTTTGTGCTTATCTGCAGTTTGCCCGCCACGCTCTGTTTACCAGATTGGCGCTAAAGTGTTTTTTCCCCCTGCCACTTTCAATTCCAGTCGAATCGATAACACTATTGAACAAACACTCTTGTCTGCTTTTGCCTGACAGAGTTATCATCCCGCTGCAAACAAACAAACTCCCTAAAGCCAATCCCCCCCCTCCCTCAAACCAGTTGTGGTATGCTCCCAATGTGTTCATCAAAAGGGGGTCGAAGGGAGGTGCAATTAAAACACAAAAAAGGGGTATTAAAGTTGCCCCGGAGGGGGGTAATTATGTCCCCCCCCCGCTCCCCACTTCCCAGTCCCTTCAGGCTGAGAGTTTGGGGGGGGGGGGGGGGGGGACATAATTACCCCCGGGGGGGGGGAATTTAATACCCCTTTTTTGTGTTTTAATTGCACCTCCCTTCGACCCCCTTTTGATGAACACATTGGGAGCATACCACAACTGGTTTGAGGGAGGGGGGGGATTGGCTTTTGAAGTTTCTTTCAGTCAGTCAGTATCTATGCGAGAGCTACAGTTGCGTTTGTCAACGCCACCGTTCCATACAGTGTGTCTATTCACAACATGCCCGCACTGATGGAATACCTCACTTAGCAGAGAAAACAGTGGTTGAATACGCACACCGTGGAGGCTGGCTAGCCCCTTTTACTGATAGCAAATAGTTTTAATTATCCTGCTGCCTTTTGTTCCCCTCCAACGCCTCTGCATCGAAACGTTCCACATCATCTGCTTAATTAACTGATCAGAGTAACACACTTCAAAGGGAGCTTAGGCCTCGGTGTGAAAAGGTTTAGCTAACAAAGTCAAATCATGCCACCTTCACTTTAGCAGACAAAGTCCCGCTCCGTCTCCCCCAGTGTGTGTCCTTGTTATTTCCCTCCTCCACACTGTTCCCCTCTCTCTGTCAATAGGCGGTCTTGATTTATTCCCATTGTTCTTCCGTAGATGCCTTCTCTTTACGACGGTGCCGCTCGGAGCTTCAGCCGAAGCAACAGCATGGAAGAGTTGCATTCTGTACTTAAGGATGATTTGTGGAGCAACGGCAGATATGCAATGGGGATCGTGTGCATGCGTGTCCGTCTCAGCCCGAGACTTGTGCGATTGTTTGTGTTGGACTGTGTCCGTGTGTGTGTTGCGTCTGAAGAGCTCTGAGGAATCTGGGAGTGTGTTTCAGTCGGGATATGGTGGATGATAAATGCCAATGACGGACAGCGATGATAGCAGTGATAGAATGTGGAAATGCGTGTATGTATAATCGGGCAAAAAATAGACTACAGGCTGTTCTTCCTCCTTTCCGAAGAAGGAATTTCTGATTTACTGGAGCCTCTTCAGCAGCAGAAGTCTAAGCTCTCTTCTTTAATCTCTGGCCAGCGTTTTGCTTTCTTCTCCACCTCTACCCCCTCCTCTCACCCATCCATCACCCTCTCATCTCTGCACTCTATCGCCCTGTGGAATGCTGGACCTCTGAGGCGAAGAGGCCGCAATGTGGATCAAAGGTCGGACAATCTCCAAGTCAGCATCGGAGGGGCCTTGTGCAATTTAAAATTCTAGCGACGTCTGCTCAGACGGGAATCGCACACTTTAAAGATCGATGCAGAACTACTTAAAAAAAAAAAAAAAAAAAAGTATCCACGGAGGCCACGTCTAAAACCAGGAGCTCTGGTCTACTTGACCTGTGAGGTCACCCAAACCACATAAACATGATTATTTTCTTCCCGGGTTTTTGTGCACGACAGTAATGTGACCCAAAAGGTGACTGGCCTGTGTCACAGATGAGTGAACCAGAATGTAGGGACCACCTAATTGGCTCATCCAAGCCTGGATTATATGGTGGAGCAGAGGCTGAGCTCTGGTCCATTCATCAGCACCAGACCCTGTTTAATACGGGGGCTTAGAGTGGACAGCGAGGCCCAGAGCCGCGGCAGAGGGGCTGGGGACAGAGTAAGGGGTGAGATAGGCAGGGTGGGGACACTACTATTGTTCTCACACAGAGAAGGTATTATTACTCTACACTGGAGTTCAGAAGAGACACAGTGACGTGTGTGTGTGTGTGTCCCTGGTTGCAGAGGGGAAAGTGAGAGGCGTTAACAGAGTAATGAAAGACACTAGACACAAGGGAGCCATTTCGTTCAAGATATATCTGAAGCTACGCGACTCCACGAGGGAGGTGGCACTTCAGAGAGAGAGAGAGCGAGAGAGAGAGAGAGAGAGAGAGAGGTGAAAGCCTTTCGGCGGTGCATCATGAGTTAAGTTAAGTGGGAGGGTTTAACGTTATTGCTCAAACTCTGTTTCATTCTTCTATCTAGTCATCCATCAATGTCAGCAATCTCCTCCCACTCTCTGTCCGTCTTTCATCACTCAATAAGCAAACCAGATCCTCATGTCAACTCTGTCCCTCCCCTCCAACCCCAGACTTGCTGAACCAATCACAAAGATGGTATTCCAAATATGCAACTTCCTGACCTGCCATTTGCAGAGCACAATGCCGCGTGGGTACGCTGGGGTCGTCATAGAAACGAATATGGTCCAACTCATGTGGCTCCTCCTTTTTTTAAACATAATATTCCAACCTTCATTCTTCGCACCGTTTGACTTTTTGTCATCCATCTCAATCAGCTTTCTCCCGTCCCGTCATTCAACCTTTGTCCGTCCGGATCATTGGTCATTCCGCCGGCGTTCCCGGCTGAACTTGCCAAAGCTCCTTTTTGCCACCCGGCAAAGTGACAAAGATTTAAGTCCAGCAGAGAAATAATTGGCTGATTCCGCCGTACTAAGAAGGCTTAGATGAATACATATGCTCTTTCCAACTGTCTCACGTTGTCCCCCGAGCCATTTGTATCTTATAAAGGGCCAGAACACAAAGGTCACCACTGACATGACATTTCTCAGGAGGCCAAT